AAAACTGCAAGGCAAGAGCAGGACCAACCCAAGAGAGAAGCCGTGGGAGCTACAATCACTGGAAGCAACATAGAGGCGGAGCCACTCAAGCCCTCTGGAGCTCATAGCTTGCCACAGATGGCCTGGGATTCGGGAGGTAGAACTGTGGAATGTAATGTTTGCCCTGCTGGATTTTGGACTTACTTTGGTCCTGTTCCTTCGCATCCTTCTGTTTGTACCTTTTGGAATGGAAATGTCTATCTTGTTTTGCTTTTTTTTGTGGTACCGGGGATCGAACTCAGGTCCTTGCTCTTGCGCAGCAGGCGGCGAAACCACTGAGCTAAATCCCCAGTATGGAAATGTCTATCTTGTGCCGCTGAATGTTGGAAGTGTTTGACTTTCTTTTCATTTGTACGGGGGCTCGCAGCTACGAGTTTACTTTAAACTTCAGCGTGCTTGAGACCTGGACTTTTCAGCAGTGCTGAAACTGTTAGGACTTTGGCAACTCTTTTCAATTTTCTTTTTCAAGGGCTGGGGAGGTAGCTCAGCAGCACCACACCTGCCTGGCAAGCGCAAGGTCCTGAGTTCGATCTCCTGTACCAAAAAAAATTTTTTTTTTCAAAAATTTGAGGCCAAGTGTTATTCCAGAGGCTGAGTCAGGAGGATCACAAACTCAGTCACCCTGGAGAACGTAGCCAGACTTTCTCTCTACATTATTATTATTTTTTTTTTGGTACCAGAGATCGAATTTGGGTCCTTGCACTTGCGCAGCAGGCGGTGAAACCACTGAGCTAAATCCCCATCCCCTTTCTCTACATTATTATTAATCTTTTTATAAACAGCCTGTGTGGGTGGCACAGTGCCCGGTGTCCGTGTCCACTTACCTCCCTGCTGTGAGCTCATCTCTGTGGGCCAAAGCCCCTCTGGGAACCTGGGCTACTGTCCTCCCTGGCTCCTGCATCCCAGAGGCTCTGCCAGCTCAGCCTGACTTGTGCAAGGCCAGCATCCAAATTCCTGCTCTCCGCTGGAATCCATGTCCCCTGGAGAAGATGAGCCACTTTCGGAGCTAAAATCTGGGACTCTGGGTGTGGGGGGGGTCCCAGCTGTAGGATGGGGCCACAGCAGGGGCATAGGCCTTGCGCCCTGGGTGACTGCAGGCTGGCTGGGGATGTGTCCCCAAGGTCCTGCAGCTCTGGGGCTGGAGAGCGCAGGAGGTTGGGGATTGGCCAGGTGCAGAGGAGGTAGGATACAAGATATGCAGAAGAAACTGGTGTAGTGGTGCACACCTTTAATCCCTGCCACTTGGGAGGCTGAAGCAGGAGGGTTGCAAGTTCAAGTGCAGTCTGAACAACTTATGGGGACCTTGTCTCCAAAAGAAAAACAAGTAGGGTATGGTGTACACATCTGTAAATCAGCACTCGGGAGGCTGAAGTAGGAGGATCTCCACAAGTTCAAAGCCAATCTGGGCTGCATAGTGAGACCCAGTCTCAAAAACAGTTAATCAATCAATAAATGGGCCGAGGCTGTGCTCAATGGCCCTTGGGTTTATTCCCCAGAATAAAGCACAGAAAAAGAGAGAAAGAGCAAAAGAAAAAGGGACTGGGGTCCATAGTGAGTTCAAGGGCGGTCTCAAAAACCAAAACAAGAAAAAAGGATGTTTTGGCCAAAACATTCTTTGACCCCTTTTCTTCATTTTAGGGTTAGGCACTGCCCTTATGGTGACTATGAGTTAATTCCTGACTTCTGTCTCTGTCAGGGATTCAGCCGTGCTGGGCCTGGAACAATTTTAAAATTACAATTTTCTGTGTCTACTACCTATTTTTTTTTCTCTAGTACTGGAGATTTGAACCCAGCGCCTTCATACTGAATTATATCCCCAGTTCTTTTTTTTTTTTTCTTTTCCATCCCCAGTTCTTTTAAAATTTGTTGTCTTCCAAAGTCAATAAATTGCCCAGGCTGGACTCAATTTGAGATCCCCCTTCCTCAGCCTCCCCAAGTGCTGGGATTAGAGGCATGCCTCATCAAGCCCAGCTCAAACTGCTGTTTTTAGCCAACGCTGCAGCAGTGGCACTGAGCAAGCTGCTCCGACACGACGGGTGGTGACAGAGCCTAGAAAGCTGGCAGGCTCACGTGGGTGGCTTTGCTGGCTGTGAGCACCATGCCCAGAGCCCGGTTTTCCACTGCAATGCCAGGTGTCCTCTTCTGTCCCTACCTAGTGCCCGCCTGCTGGTGCCAAGATCGACTCCCTGCTCGGGCATCCAAAGGAGAGGGGCCTGGGTTCTCCCCACTCAGCTTCCACAAGGGGGCACTGGGGCACCCTAAGGTGCAGGTTGGAAGCTGAGGGAGAACTAAAAGCCTGGATCATGTATTTATATTTCTTTTTTTTTCTTTTCTCTTGGTACTGGGAGTTGAAGCCCAGGCCTTTGTACTGAGCTAAATCTTGTTTTGAAACAATCTCACTAATTTGCCCAGGCTGGGCTTGAATTTGCCATCTTCAGACGTGGCAGACGTGTGCCACCACACCCAGCTGTTTATTTTCTTGGCTGTCAGGGACCTCACCGTAGCTGCCTGGGCCAGGAATGGCAGACAGCAGGGCTCCCAAACCAAGAGACAAGCTCTGGACTCCAGTGCTCCTTCTCCCTGTGCCTGTCTTGTCCTTTATACGCCTGAGGCTGAGGCAGGAGGATCACGCTGAGTTCAAGGACAGCCTGGGCTACATAATGAGACCCTGTCTCAAAAAAACCAAATCAAGGGCCAGGGATTTAGCTTAGTGGTTCCGTTGCTTGCCTTGCAAGCACAAGGACCCAAGTTCGATCCCTGGTACCAAAAAAACCCCCCCAAAAACCCCACAAAAAACCAAACCAAAACCAAACTAAAGCCTTCCAAAGGCCCGGGGGTGTGTGTGTGTGTGTGTGGAATCCATTCCATTCTCGCCAGTCCCAGCTTGTTTGTTCTTCATCTCCCCCAAAATGAGCTCCCCTTCCTCAGTCTGGTCTTCCTCTCTCACTCCACCCCTTGGGCCTCTGGGACCCCTCGTAAATAATCCAGGATAATCCTCTACCTCAAGGACCCTCATTTAATCCTGGAAGGTGACATAGTCACAGCTTTCTCTTTTTTGTTGTTGTTTTTTTTGAGACAGGGTCTCCTCATGTAGTCCAGGCTGGCCTGGAACGAACTATGAAACCTGGGTTGGCCTCAAACTCGCTGCGATCCTCCTGCCTCAGCTCCTGAGTGTTGGGATCGCAGGTGTGCGTCACCATGCCCAGTTCGACACGACCAGGCTCAGAGTTTAGGATTTGGGCATCTTCCCTCGTGACAAGGCACTGTTCTGCCCACTCCGGACAGTCTGGGAGTGGGGGTTCAAGGGAACCCAGCGGCTCCCTTGAGGATTTGCACAGTACGTGCTGAATAAAACTGCTTCCTGTTCAGCTTCTGCCTGCCCTTTTGTAGTTGCTGCGCTGTGTGTGTGTGGGGGGGGCGTTAGGGGACTTCCTGAAGATTTTATCGCTGTTAGGCAAAGCGTTTATCCCTGAGCCACAAGCTCATCCCTTTTTCATTTTGAGACAGGCCCTCACTGAGTTGCCCTGGCTGGCCTCGAACTTGTGCTCTTCCTGGCTCAGACTGCCTGACCACAGCACACATTGGATTTTTTTTTTTTGGTACCAGGGTTTGAACTCGGGTCCTTGCGCTTGCACACCAGGCGGCGAAACCACTGAGCTAAATCCCCGGCCCAACACTGGATTATTTTAAAGAGAGGATCATAGCTGGTCCAGGTGCATCTGTAATCCCCGCCTTGGGAGGCCAAGAGAGAATTGCTTGAGCCCAGGAGTTGGAGTCCAGCTTGGACAAACAGGACGAGATTCTATGTCAAAACAAAAAAAACAAACAAAAACTTGAAAATGACCAGGGATAAAATGTAGGAAAATTAAATGTTTATAAAATTCCCCAGACTCCCATGAACCACCTGAGCTGGCCCTTGGAGCCAGGGCAAAGTGCCCCGGCAGGTTCTGGACTTCAGCGCTTTCTTTTCTCACCAGGAACCGGGGCTAGAACGTGTGCCGGGTCGGATGAAAGGGGACGCCTGAGCCGGGTCTCTTAACATAGACATAGGGCGCGGCGGAGGCTGGGGTCAGGGGGCGAGGAAGAAACCACCGGGAAGAGGCGGGGAAGAGGTTCGCACCCTGGCCCTAGGTGCTTCCTGTTCTTTTTGGTATTTTATTTATTTTATTTTATTTTATTTTATTTTGAGATAGGATCTCGCTATGTAGCCCAGGCTGGCCTCGAACTCACGGCGATCCCCGTGCTTCAGCCTCCCAAGTGTGGGGATTACAAGCGTGTGCCACCACACCCGTCTCAAATTGTTTTCCTAACTGCCAAGGTGACTGCAAGTCCAGGTCCGGGCTCGGGGATCGAGCACCCCGCCTCCAGACCCTTTGTTCTGCCTTCGGACAAATGCACAGCACCCAGCAGAGGCGCGGATCGGTGTCGCCACATTCGCCCTGTTTGGGTTTTCGGAGATTGGGGCTCGCTGCGTAGCCCGGACTGGCCTCGAACTCGTGGCGCTCAACAAGCGCTGGGCTCCCATGGTCCACGCCCGGGCTGAAGCCTCTGCGCGCCGCATCCACCCACCCGGGCTCGCACCCTGCCCGCTCCGCGCGCGCGATCCCGACGCC